AAAATATTTTGCATTTTATTTCAATTTTACTTGCTACTGTTTATTTATTTTATATGCATGAAAACATAAAAAAATCCATTATATAGTTGCTTTAGGAAGGTTAGGATTATTTTCCAGAGCAGATGTTAGCTTAAGAAACCATACTGTGACATTTTGCTTCTGTGTTACAACATAACTGACTGAAAGGAATCTAATTTATTGTAGCCATCCGGATACATTTTAAAAATAGTCTGTACAACTATACCTTCACTGATGTCCTGTTCATTTCTTTAGATCATCTTGTGAATATTACTTATAGCAAATACGTCAAAAAAATGATATAACCAATGATGAATTTTGGCAGGTCCTTTGAGGCAATAACAACTGTGATTTAAGAATAAATAAACATAAAAAGATAAATCTGCGTTTAAAGTCTGTTTAGTACAAGGAGACACACATGCTGTAAAGCAAACACTATGGGGTCTATTCACAAAGCTGCCGAAGGATCTGGCCGTAGCTTCGGCCGATCCTTCGGCTAGCTTCGGCACCAGGACCCCTTCGGTTCAGGAGAACCGAGGGGGTGCTGTACGGGCTATTCACAATAGCCCGTACAGCTCCCGATCACGGCCGAGCGACTCAGTCGAGCGCTGAGCCGTGCTGAAAGACGAAGCTGGCCGAGCGGCCGGCCATTGGCCGGCCGACAGCCTGCTTCTGACAGCTGGGCGGAGCCAGCCGTGATCTTACGGCTGGCTCCGGCCACTTTCAGAGAGATCAGCGTCCCTGGTTGCTAACCAGGGACACTGATCTCCAAGCATCTGACTCTCCCTGGCGCCCCGGGAGTCTCCTGCTCCCGGCCGCCAAGGAGAAAAACCCCGCTGTGTCTTTTTTCTTTATTCTGACACGGAGCGATGTCAGAATAGAGAAAAAAAAAAAAATCCCATTCAAAAGCATTGGGACATTACTATTGGCTATTTCTATTGCAATAGCCAATAGTAAACTAGCATTGTACCCGCCCTCTTCTGCAGTTCCCCACCAGGTCCACCAGCAGAGGGCGGGAACAATGCTAGTTTACTATTGGCTATTGCAAATTGAAATAGCCAATAGTAAACTCTCAATGCTTTTGAATGGGAATTTTTTTTTTCCTCTATTCTGACATCGCTCGTGCCAGAATGAAGAAAAAAAGACACAGCTGTGTTTCTCTCCTTGGCGGCCGGGAGCGGGGGGCTCCCGGGGCCCCAGGGAGAGTTTTTACATTTTTTTAACTTTTTTTTTTTTACAGCAGCAGAGCCGCCGGACAATAGGAAACTATTGGGCGGAGCTAGCTGTCACTGCTAGCTCTGCACAATCGTTTTCTATTTACTTTTTTCTACTTTTTTCACTCTTTTTCTGTTCTGCTCGGTGCCTCTGAGGGACCGAGCAGAACAGCCGAGCCAAATGCCGCTCGGCGGCATTCGGCTATTCTCTCACTGCTGTTCGGGATCTTTCAGAATAGCCCGAACAGCAGTGTGAAGCCTGCCGGAGGTTCGGCTCAGCCGATCCAGATGTTGGATCGGCTGAGTCGAACTCCTTCTGCACTTCGGGTCAGCCGAACATGCTGAGCATGTTCGGCTGATCCGAAGCCACACGAAGCAAGCCGATGTACGGCTGATTTCAGCCGATGTACGCCTGAAATCAGCCGTACCAGCCTGAAGTGAATAGCCGAACAGTGTTCGGCTCACTTCACTTCTGATCGGTCATTCACTGGGCTGCCCTCGGCAGCTTTGTGAATAGACCCCTATATATACAATATAAATATAAACGATTATATATCTATATCATATGCATTTTATCCAGTAAATGTAACATATGGAAGCTTAACAATACACAAAGCATGTGGCACCTGGGTCTGACACAGGGTGAGCCTAAGATATTTTATACTAAATTTAACAACATTCAATCAATTTCAGTTGCAACAAATAGGACCTTGTACTAAACCTACTACACTCGCCATTGAGGACTCCTAAAGAGGATTGTTGCCTAGCTTTCTTGCCGATGCAGTGGAGTCAATATTTTCAGGGCACAAATATACAAATCAAGGTCTCTGACTTTGCTCTGATTTTCTAACCTGCATAATTGGTTTGGGTCATTTACTCAGGGAGTAATAAACCAGAGACAGCAAGGCACACTGCATTCTTTGAAGCCAGTCAGTTTTGGCGAGCACTGGCGGAATTACCAGGGTCGCAGGAGCCGCAATTGTGACCGGGCCCTGGTGTTCCGCCTGTTGGGAAGGGCCCAGAGAGGAAGAAAAGGGCCCGCAGCTCCCTCATGCCACCACCCCATAGTTCTGCTTCTTCCCGCCGCTCTGCCCCCCGCAGCAGTAGAAGCGGGACATGTACGGGTGGCTGTGCATCGTGGATGGAGAGGCTGTACAAGTGATCTGTCACCTGTCAAGCACAATGTGATGCAGGCACTGCCAGGCAGCACATTCTGCTGTGTGGGAGAGGACTCTTTCCACTTAGTCCCACCCCTGGCCACTGAGATGCGAAAGAAGGTGCTGCATGAGTCAGGTAAGTCTGGTGTGGGTGAAGGCTGGACCGGGAAGGGGGGGAGTTTGGTGGGAGAAGCTGGTGGTATTTAGCATGGCTGATTTTCATTATAATTTATTGCTGGGACTTGCAGTTCTGCATAGCTGGTGGTATTCTGCATTGCTGTATAATGGTTATACAGCAATGTATAACCATTATACAGCAATGTATTATTAAGTACAGATGCACCAGTGCAAATACTGGGCATTTTCATGAGTACTTGTGTAACGGACCGCACGGCACCATGACTGGATGCCTATGTCACTATGTAGCTTCCTCTCGGCTGGAGCCCGAATTCTAGCATCCTCAGCCCAAACCTGGACGAAACCAATATATAAGGACAGAAAACTAAACTCACAAAATAATAAAAATTTACGCAAAACATCAAACAACACCAATGTTCAAGTAAAAACAGGAACTGACTTTATTGAAAACCAGCTCAGTATATATATACAGTTCTGGAACTCCAAAAGATAATACAATCAGACTTTCAAATAATGCAAGTAAACCATTCCCTCCAGGTGCCTTAATTAAAGAGTAGGGTGAAATAAGACACATATGATGGGATTGTCTCCTGAGTGTCTATCATCTGTTAATTTACTCAGCTACATCTAGGGGGTGATTTACTACCCTAAACACACGCATGCACCAGGTGCGTGTGATTTTCACACAGCAAAACGTATTTATCAACCAAAAAGTCTCTAAAAGCATATTTCCACTAATGCCATATATGGAAAAATCATGCACATGATGCATATATAATGCTGCTTCACAGTTTAGACAAAAATGGTTAGCTCATGCATTTACATTACTGCATTCATCAACACAAGCAACACAACATAGAGCTAATTTACACAACATCACCTTGCAATTCATGCACAACACACCTGCTGGGTGTGTACACACTACAAAGGTGTCTAGATTCCACCAATAGATCATGCTGGGAGGGAACACACTACAGAGGTGTATACTTGTTCGTGGCGTGTTTATAAGGTTAGTAAATCAACCCCCTAGTGTCAGAGTTAAATTAATCCCATTGTTAACCCAATCACACAAATGGACAAATAGACTAACAGACTAACAAGGTAAATGGGAGTCTTAGTCCAGAATGAACCTCCTTCAGTGCTGCTGGATTCACACCCTGTACCAATAATGGGCACAGGGTCACGTAAACTTACGTGCACTCCACACATAAACCAGGGATAATAGTTCCTTGTAACCCAAAGAGGTCCAAGGGGGGTCTCCATAGTCCTAGGTCCATAAAATGATTTGAGCTCAGTGAGGGAGTGTATGACCTTAGTAATTCAGGCCCTATACTTGGGTTTGTGTAACCTCTTGTTTTCTATTCAGCTTTGTTTTAATCAAATAGCAAAGTTATATTCAATATTTACACATTTTTTTCTGTTCACTTTCCTGTTTGCATATACATTTTTATTTAAAAAGAGTTTGGATAGTCTATGCCATACAACTTAAATCATAAACTAGAAAAACAGAAAACAGCAAGATAAAGGAGTTCTCCTAGGATGTGTTGCTCCCAAAGTAAACCTCTACCAGCAACAGTGTTTTATTTAATAGGCACAACAAAGTTAGATTGCTCCCTCAAAAAACTGGGCTTAGACTAGACACTTACTTAATCTAAGCCCATGTGTCCCTCAGAAAAGTTTTTTTTGTGGCATACCAAGCCATGTATCTTAAAATAGACACAAGGCTCTTCATGTGTATTACTGTGGATTACATTACAATAACATTTGACCTTGTTTTAAAAAAACATTTTGTGTGTTATCTTTTTGTTCAGTGATATACATTTTATCTTTGGCGTGATGTAGCAGTATTTTAAGGTTTGCTAATGAGTGGTGGCTGAATCCATCTATTCAGTTTTTCTTTCCTCATCTCCAGAATACATATGTGTTCCTATTTTAATAAGCTGGAGTTCTGTGCTTTGCATGGGCTGTCTATATAATAGAGTAGCCCCTTCTGTTGACTTGTTGGTACTGTACAGAGACCGATATATAATTAAGAATGTGGAAGGTTTGCTTCTTACATGTGGGCTTGCTTGCTATATTTACCAGATCTGATTTTAGTCCTGCATTTAACACTTTCTAATAACCTAGATTAATTTAAAAATTATGATAATAGTAATAGTGATTCTCAGCATCATAAAAATGAAAATCTGTAATTATGGCAACAGCAATATTGAAACTACCTGTGCTAAAAACCATAATACAGCTGCTCCTTGCCGGTGTTCTGCTTGTAGGTGTTTGCAGATGATCCTCATGTGCTTTTAAGATCTCAAAAAGTATTACCTTCAGATGTGACAGCAAAGGGCAGAAATGAAGCAAATACACAGATACAAGAAAGGGAGAAAAGGGATTAAGCCTGCAGGATGTATCCAGTGATGTACAATTGTGAGAAAATTATCATAAAACATCAAGAGTTCACTTGTGAAATTGTCAGGAGCATTGGAAATGTAACCGTGGCAGCATATGTGTTAAATTAAAATTTCATAAGACAAGGGAGTAAAATTTCATATTTCCTAAAAGGTCATGTTGTCCACTGTGGCAAACACATCTGCTTTTTTGGGGGAACCCATCAGATATAAATGAATAGATAGTTCTCATAAATGACACAGGCTCTGGGAAAAGCTATAGACTTATCAGCCCGCTGTATTGCAGCCTTTAAATTGTAGTACAACAAGGTGCTTTAGATTTAAAAGAAAGATATTACTCCCGAAACGGGAAAAGATTCCTCTTTTCATTTAATCCCCTTCAGAGTAGCACAGTGTGGCTCTATAAAGACAGACAGAGCTCTTCAATTTTCAAATATATATGGTACAGAATTATAACAGATAGGTACCACTTCTGTTCATTTTTTTAATATATATCTTTCTTGTAATGAAACATGCATTTTAGCTAATATGTTCAGTGAGGTATAAATTATATTTGACATATTTAAGGCTGAGACTTCTATTTACAAGAATATTAGAGGTAAAATGGCAAACATGCTTTTAAAATTTGATAGAAAATTGTGAATACAGCACAGAATCCCCCAAAAAATGGATATATGTATGTAGTTGTTCTCAGACTTTAGTTAGTCTGAGATTGATCTGTAGTTCATCTAATTTCTCCAGAACAATCTATGGAAGCTGCATCTGCCTGTTGCTGGGTGTGTTTGTGCCACAGAGCAGAGCAGCCAATAGGGATTGTTCTGAGCATTGGTGTCTCCTGGCTAATCACTGGAAGGTACAGGCCAGTGATGCATGCTGGGAGAGGATATAATGCTCAGTGTGCCTGAAGTAACGGTGAGTCTCCCTCCCCCGGCTGCTGACTGATTGAACTGGCTGGGCCTGAAGCCTGGGGACTAGCCTTATACTGACACTGAGGCCTGAATCTGGAGGCTCAGTGGTCAGCTACTTTTTCTGGAGATGAACATGTATGAGGACATCTGATGTACTGCTTTGCCTGATGTTCTCTGCACAGATTGCTGTGTCTGGCTTAAAGGTCCTAGTCTGTGATGGCAGCAGTTACTCTGTTCTATTGCTTAAAGAAGTCTACCTCATCCTGGGTGTTCCTGGCCCTGACCCTCTCTCCCTGAAGTTCAGCAATAAAAGAAATTCAGCTTTTATCTTCTGTCTGGCTTTGTTGGTCGCCACTGGAGGTGGTAAGTGCTATTGGGGCAGCCAGGTTACTATAAATCCCTAGACAGGCTGTGGAAGACCCATTCATCCAGCGGCTCCTTTGGGGATGAGCGCTACTAAAAGAATATCCAATCATTTGCTAGGAAAATTAAAAAAACTGTGATTTTGCTAGGACATGATTGGATGATGAAAGTCAGCAGAGCTTTAGCTGTTTAACCAAGCTAAGGTAGAATACCCTTACAAAAAGAAAATCCCTGTTGCTAAGTGAACAACCAATTTGCCTCTAGTAAATCAACCTCAAGGTGTTTATTTTTTCATAAAAAAAAATAAAAAAAATATACAAAGCATTCCTGTTTACACATTGGACAACTCTACAACAAGTTCTGTTGGGTAATATCACAGACACAAACAAAATTTATCACCACTTATAGCATATAGCCGTTTAATCCATGACAGTATAAAATATGGGTACCACAGCTTTAGTGGAGTAAAATTTGGAAGGAACAATGCATTATAATTAGCCAGGTTATACTGATAGGGGCAGGTGTGTAACTAGTCTTTTCATCACCTGAGGTGGAAGGGGGGTCTGCTGTTGGTGTACGCTATAAGTGTGGGGGTGGAGGAAGGGGGAGTGGCCTCGGCATCATCCGATGTCACTGGTTTCCAGGAGCTGAGTAGGAAACCAGTCAGAGCATACTGCTCAGCTCCTGGCAACCAGTGACATCGCTGGTTGGCAGGGGCTGAGCGGTACACCAGCCAGAGCATCCCAGGTGGCGAAGAGCTCGGCAGGGACATGTTTATGGCCCTTACACTTCTCCCCTCCATGATCTTAGCAAACAGGGATGCTCTGGCGAAAGGGGGCAGGAGAGACCATGCTGTTCTGCCTGGTGCAAACCCGAAACTGACCCAAAGAAATTCCACCTGAGGCAACACCCTGGATAGGAGCAGAATTAGAGTTCTCAATCAAAATTCTGCATTGTACTGTGACATTGTATATATGTCATAATTTTCTTTAGAAATAAAAAAAAAGCATACGTTTTTCTTATTTATGGAAAGTGGATGGAGCCATGAGAATCATTCTTTATGCTCCTTTTGCTAAGTCTGCACTCATATCCGTTGTTTTATAGCTTAGCTGGGGCCTATATAGAACAATTATAACCTGTAAAAGCTGGACTCTTCCGTGGAATCAATTATTTGTTGCACTTTTTCCAACCAGCAGCTGGATTACATTAAAGTAATGCCCTAAATGAAAATACTGAAAACATTTGATGTACAATAAACCAGGAATCTGCAGTAAAGATGTGTACAATGTGTTAATAATATGTTCTACAGCCACCTAGAAACAGCATTTAAGTATGCTTTCTAAAGTCCTTGCCATAAATACACAGATAGTTCTTAAAGATAAACTCTAGGAATACATTTTATTGTAGATTCTGTTATAGCTGTGTAAGTTAGCCCTCATATTAGGTATGCTGTATATGAAAGTATATACCAGGTAGACATGTGCACTGCCAAAAAATTCGTTTAGTTTCGTTTCGTTTTAAATTCGGATTTGTGCTATTTCGTTTTTCAGGATTCGGGTGTGAAAGTCAATTCAGATTCGGAATTCGGATTCGGACGAAATTCGGTAGCGTTAGTACGAACGTTCGTTTCGTTTATGTTCTTATTCGTTTCTTATTCGTTTCGTTCGTTCGTTTGCAACAAAAGTGAAATTTGAGGGGGAAAAAATATTTTTCTCCTTCTCTAATGTCACTTTGCTCCAACGAACGAAACGAATAAGAATCGAATAACAAAACGAATAAGAACATAAACGAAACGAACGTTCGTACTAACGCTACCGAATTTCGGAAATGGAAATTCGGATTCGTTTGCATTCGTTATGTCTGTAATTCGGAATTCGGATACATCCGAATGTCCGAATTTCCGAAAATTCGTCCGAATTTTGATTCGGAACGAAACGAATCGCACATGTCTAATACCAGGGGTCTCAAACCTCTGGCCCTCCAGCTGTGGTGGAACTACAAATCCCATGAGGCATTGCAAGATTCTCACAGCCACGACTCCCGAAAATAGATGCTTCATGGGATTTGTAGTTTCACCACAGCTGGAGGGCCGGAGGTTTGAGACCCCTGGTATATACAGTATGAATCTCCCCATTAGGACACAGACAGCTATTAAAACCTAATTGGGTTCTAGCCATTCTCTACTCTATCACAGGCTAAAAAAAAAGCATCAAAACAATTTGTTTAGATATACTTGACAAGCAACAATACTGTTAAACAACCAGTACTCCTAAAACACATGGTATTGTAGATACTGTAATAGCTATGTAAGTTAGCCCTAATAATATGTATACTGTGTGTGGAGGGCTCCTGCATAGTATAAAAATCATACCTTGTTCCATGTTGGCTCTTATACAAAGTGCTAGATTCTTAGGTGCTGTTTGGATGAGAGCAGTGGTTATGGCTCTGAGTGAAGGGCTCCAGTTGCATCCCCACCAGAATACAAGGTGTTCTGTTAATGAAGGAGATATCATGTTGAATACCTGCCCCTTCTCTAACCCCTTCTCCCATATTCTCTAGTTACAGAAAGACTTGCATTCTTTAAAAAAGAAACACAGTTTTTTTAAATCTGTGTCTGCCATTACCTATCAAAAGCACTTTATAATCCTACCTTTTAACAAGGTGCAGTGGCATAACAACCGAGGGTGCAGCAGGGGCGCGGGCCCCGGGCGAAAAGTGAAAGGTGTCTAGTGGGACATAAGCCTCCAATATGGGCCTAGGTGCAGATGCACTGCCAAAAAATTTGTTTAGTTTCGTTTCGTTTTAAATTCGGATTTGTGTTTTTCGTTTTTCAGGATTCGGGTGTGAAAGTCAATTCGGATTCGGAATCCGGATTCGGACGAAATTCGGTAGCGTTAGTACGAACGTTCGTTTCGTTTTCTGTTCTTATTCGTATCTTATTCGTTCGTTTGCAGCAAAAGTGACATTTGAGGGGGGAAAAATATTTTTCTCCTTCTCTAATGTCACTTTGCTCCAACGAACGAAACGAATAAGAAACGAATAAGAAACGAATAAGAACAGAAAACGAAACGGACGTTCGTACTAACGCTACCGAATTTCGGAAATGGAAATTCGGATTCGTTTGCATTCGTTATGTCTGTAATTCGGAATTCGGATACATCCGAATGTCCGAATTTCCGAAAATTCGTCCGAATTTCGATTTGGAACTAAACAAATCGCACATGTCTACATCTTATGGCATGGGAACATTTATTGGTTTCTGCTCTAATATTTAACAGAGTATTGTTACAATGATTGGAATAACAGGAAGCATAATTTCATTTGTTGATTTGCAAATAACTCTTTCAAAACACAAACATCTGAAATTGCACACGATTTGTCATTTTCAATTTGTGTCAATGGATTCCATTTTTCAGGCACCTTAATTTGCTGATGTTGTTCCCTCTTACCAGAACTCATCAAAGTGAGTGTTTATATATGTGTTTGTGTAACTGAAGATGTACACTATTTAGTGGAATTCATTAGCTAAGTGGCTCTCTACATTAGACCCTATTTTTATGTAACAGGAGCAGTAGACTCAGCCTGTGCTCAGAGAATATTCTTGCAATATCTACCAGTAAATTTAGGTCAAAAGCTTGATTGAATTGTTAGGAATGATTGTTAAATGCCTATGCATCATATTTACACATTGTCAAGTAAGGTATGAAGATTCAACCAGAAAAATATTGCCTCTAAAGGGATTGTGCAGATAGAGCAATATAAAACACCCCATTGTATGATGTTTACCACTGATATGTTCTCTTTCAGTGCTTTTGC